TTTGTTGTTGTTTGCTTTTCTTGACAAAAGCTAAAGAATCTCCTAGGACTGTCTTGGTAATGCTTTTGTGTGGCCGTGTTTCTTTGCCATGTTTTCTTTTGGAGTACAATATTGAAAAACATGTAGCTTTCTCAAGCAAAGTGTGTGATAATTCACACACTTAATAGTCCTTCCTATTCCTATGCCATATATAAAATTCCAAGTGAGGTACATAAAAGCCCAGGTAATCACTTTTTTTCCTAAATTTCCTGATCCTTAGGCTATGAGTCTACAGACAGAACTGTAAGTGAAAGCTGAAGTCCATGACAATATATTTCCTTTTTGAAAAAAAAATTGAAGGAGGTTTCTTATGGAGAATGTGCTATTGCATGGAAGGAAGTAGTGCTGTTAGTCAGTCACCTTTAACAGGTAGCATTAGACTCTTTACACTCTGTATTTTACAGTGGAGCCAGTATTATCACTCTCATGGAGCCATAGTGCCCACAATAATTCATGCAATCCTTCATACTTCATTTTGAAGTTGCATCTAATTGATGCAAAATATTACTCTTTTGTAGTTGATAGTATGGTCAATATTTCTGCTTCAAGTAGAGGAAATGAATAATAATTCTCAATAGTCCTGTTAGTTTCTGGTTTGTAAAAGTCACTTTTAACAACGCATGACCAGAATAGTAGCACACAGGAATTTCATAGCAGTGTGTGCTTAGTTTGAAAGAAAAGAACAATTAGATATGCTCAGACTTGTTTGTCTGCTTTGGCATTTCAAATATACATCCCGTTATTATTATTTTAGATACTGTTTACTCTCTTCTTTAAAAATAGATCTCAGAATGAAGTGAAAGACGTGCCTTGTTCTACACAGGACTCAATTAATGTGCTCGCTCTAAAGATTCAGAAAAGGGGATGGTTCTTCATACTCCCTCAGTAACTTCACACCAGTATTTCTCAAGTTTATTTTTTTAGCTGACCACAAATTATACAGTTAAATGGTACAGTAAAAAAATTATTAGCAACTTTTTCTAAATAAGTTGCTTGTTCCCAGAAAAATTGCTAAACTAGTACCTGTCTGTGGTGTGAAGCGTGAAGTTCTGTAGCAAGGAAAAAGGGGGAACACTTTTGGATTCAACTGGTAGGAAAAAGCCACATGTTTCTTTGTTGACTTGCCAGCCAAGAAGAATCACACAAAGGAGACTGTGTGATAGTAGCGTAAAGGGAAAAAAATAAAAAGGAGAAAAGAAAAGCAATTCTGTTGCTATCCTTTGGCACCTGATGACCAGAATAAAATCATATAGACCCTCCCACTGCATGGGAGAAAAGATGGGAAGGAGGCAAAAGTAAAAAGAAGGCTTGTGCTGATTACTTAACCCTAAGCTCAGCATTTGGTAGAGGGGAATGATCACATTTTCGATAACTGTGTTTACTCTATTTTTTTGTGCATAGCCCACAGGTTTTCTGGAAGAAAAACGTCTGATTTGGCAGTCATTGGGATTGTTTATATGCATACAAGTACCTCTAGCTGCATATGAATAGGGAGGTAAGGGAAGCTGCCCAGGAGTCATCAGATACAGATCCCCAATAACCAGCTGGACTTATTGCCTTTCCCATTAGCCTCTGTTGCTGTCTGGTGTTGTGGGGTCCCTAAAAAGTCTAGGTTATCTGAGATATTTTCAAGGAACAGTGCTTTTGAAGGCGTGCAAGTTATATCTGTCCTGCGTTCTTATGATGTTAGAGATTGAAAACTTGAATCAAAAATCTCTCCCTGTGGAAAATCTTTCCGCCTTTACCTCTGGAATAGTAAACTGACAGAAATCATTCTGTCAACTGCAAATACCCTTTTCTAGTGGCAATGTGAAAATAAGCTTTATGCTCTTTGGTTCTGCTTTGTTTTTTTGGCAAAGAGCAAAGATGCCTGTTAGAGGAACTTTCTCTAGAGAAAATGCAAATGCAGTGTTCTGCAAGTGAGGTAAGGAACACAATGACCCAGTTTCGCTGTGAGTGTAATTTCTGCAGATTTTGTGGTTAGAGGTAGAAAAAAAAAAGAAGAAAGAAAGTTTAAAAAAGAAACATTGCAAAGGGCTTTGCAAGTGCTCCTTCAGCATATGGGGCAGTGAGCTTAGTATGGAAGTCAGGGCCAGGAGCCTGGTTTTCCAGAGACCAAATATAGGATAACACAGGGAATTCTGCTTTGTCATCCCAAATGGCTTAATGCAGGAACAAAACAGCAGTGTTTCTCCTAAGTTCAAAATGGAGCTTCTTAGCAAATCAGCTGCATAATGCAAAAATTCAAGCAGAAACCAGGCACAGAGGTGAACTGCCTGAGGGTGTCACATATTTCAAAGGAGAGAAATGTAATGATATCTTAAAGAGGTATATAGACAAGGAGAGGAATACCTGTGGCATCTGATCACAATAATAGAAATTCTGCTGAAAGGCTTTGGAAGATTAACAATATTAACCTTGCTGTCTTATTTATTCCATCTTATTTGCTAAGAATAAGCCTCAGTAATCTAGCAGTAGTGGCTCTAAGGTACTGGTTGTTATTATTATTCTCATCTGAAAATAAGTATTATATATTATTTGTGTTGAAGTCTTGAGTATATGAGATGCTTCAAGCAGAATTCAACCGTAGTGAGAATCTCCTTGGACTCTTGTCCCTGAGCCATGGATATGTTACATCAATTTACATTGATAGGTACAGAAGAGATCAGAAAGTGGCTACTTGATTTCTACATTTCCTCACTTTTCAGTACATTCAAAAAATGTAGCCTTACTGTTACTATAGAGTAAGTTTCTATACTTAATATTCAACTCAAAGTGCTGAAAGATGCCAGACCACAAATCTGGACCCAGCACCAGCCTGCCAAGAGCCATAGTGGAAGAGCATGTTTATGCAAATGCTACAGGGACTGATGAATATCCTGCTTCACTCAAAAGCATTCAGAAATATTACACGTGGCATCCTCCAGTGTGTTCCCCGATAAATGCTTTTGAGATACCAACTGATGCATTCAGCCACATGCACGCCTAACACGTACTGGGGCCTATGTCTCCCCTTCTTTGCTTTGGTCACTCGTACGTGAGAGCAGGCACAAGGCCCTGCTGCCTTGTCTGGGCCTGCAGTAGTCACCGAGTACCTGCCCAAAATGGCACAAGATAGTAGAGAATCAGATATACGTTCAGTAGGCAGCATTAAAAAAGTGACACGCTGGGGGTCCTTTAACCACGACCTTCAGACAAGTCCAACAGCCACTCTAAGGGGATCAGTGAGAACTGGATACAAGCATGGGCAGTTCCAACTCCCAGCACCTCTGGGATCTCATGGCTGCATTGGTCCTTGTGCATGATGGAGCAGAAAGGTCAGTTCATCCACGCTATCAGTTGTCACCAAAAAAAAAAAAAAAAAGTAAAATTACAGGTTTCTCCATCTTTTCTCCAGCAGAACATTAGAACATTTCAAAAAAATCTTTTTACACAGATCGCTTTTCCTGATGCATATTTAGAACAGCAGTAGTTTTATATACTTGCACACAGACCCATCTGACCACCCTTTATTTAGGAAAGGAAGGGAAAATGCTTCTGTTTCATTGGTGTTTTGAAAATTATTTTGGGACCATCTAGGGGACTGGCAGGGACCTTTCCGTATTCAGGCACCTCAATATGACAAAGTAAATGTTGTGAGAGAAATATTGTTTCTTTGTACTGTTGTTTGATTTGTTGCTTCAAAGTGAGTGTCTCAATATGTACAGCATGCAACTTTTTAGACCATTATTAGTTTTGATTTTAAAACTGCAGAAAAAAACGCATAGAAGGGTACTGCTGTATAGATAATAGTGTGTTTCTCCATTCCTCGTTGAAAGTAAATGTGTTTTTGATGCCTTTCATGGGAATGCACCAAAACAAGCAAGTCACTGATTGCTTGGACTGCTATGGCCATAATGTGTAGATAAAGAGGCAGCATAAACTATCTGGAGTAGACTTGCATCATGCCAGAAACAAATCACAGTTTGCAGTCCCACTTCTAGACTGAGCAGGCCAGGCAATAGAGAATGCTGTAAAAGGATCGCAAAATGGAAACCATGACCTTTGCTGTTGGATGCTTTGCCATCATGATCACTGCATGGGACACTAGCAGGTTGAGTTAAAAGACTTGCCAGTGTAGCATGGTTCCGATGCTCTACATTTCCCTGATCGCTGGCGTCTGCAAGGATGTGATGTGTTGCTTGCAAAATGCTTCCAATGCTATCCTAAAGGGAGGGCAATTTTAGTGAGGCTTCTTTTTCAGTGTAGTGCCTGCCAAGACCAGTCATTTTTATAAGGGGCGGGAGAGTAGCCAAGAAAACTAGGAAAAAAAATGTGTTTGTGTATATATATATATATATAAATTGTAGAGGGAAGGATGCTTAAAAAATGTATTCATCCAATATGGCAAGCAAAGCAAGTGTGGTGAAAAGTTTGCAATTTCACCACATGCTGAAGATATCAGTCAGTATTTAAAAGGGACAAAATTGTAATGTCATCATGGCATTAGTACAAGGCACTGACAAGCTGCATACGCAAACATTTATCTCCCCCATCAGATCTGCAGCCAGCCCGTAAGTCCTAGAGAGCTGCCACAAGACCAGGGTGCTGCACGCTACTGCCTTTTGAAACATGACCCCTGGCATCCAAACAGGAGGCATCTCCAATAATCCTGTCCTAACCCGTTTCATCCTTTCAGCTGCATTGCAATGAAAGGAAATTTTGCTGCTGTTGAAGTGCAACAGCAATTGGAACAGGCTGCCCAGGGAAGTGGTCGAGTCACCATCAGTGTTCAAGAAATGTGTGTATGAGGCGCTTTGGACATGGTTTAGCAGACAGGGTGGTGATGGGTTTACGGCTGGACTTGATGATCTTGAAGGTCTTTTCCAACCATGATTCTATGATTCTATGAACGGGAAGCAGCTCATCCAAAGCCTTCCCATTCCCGTATTAATGCCCTCCACCTTTATCCATCCCCGCAGGAGTGGTCCGCCAGGTGAGGCCCATCGTCGGACCTTTCCACGCCATCCTGAAGCTGGAGATGAACTACGTCATGGGGGGAGTGGTGTCTCATCGCAACATCGTCAACGTTCACATCTTCGTCTCCGAGTACTGGTTCTAAGAGAGCTCTCAAAACTCCTGAGAAGGAAGCCGCTCCACACAATTTCCACAAACTATTATGCCATATACTTGTTTGTAAAAAAAAAAAAAAAAAAAAAAAGCCAGTAGTGGTTTTCTCTATTGTTTTATTTTAAAATATTTGGTTTATAGTCTAAGACCAATAACAAACTATGATGTTGATTAGACATAGGATGGAGCAAATTTAAATGAGCCTGATTTAGTTGTGTGTATAAATAAGTAGCGTGTAAAAGTGCTCAACTGCCTAGTGAATTTTAAAACTTTTCTCAGTGTTTAGGCAGCTCTTCTCTATTGCTCTTTGGCTTAACAACCAAAGCAACTGAGGATATGAAACATATAGATGTTCGAGTTCTTTAGGATGACACTATGGTATCTCTGGAGGGAAGAAGTTTGGTAGAGATTAGTAGTTTTGCCTCAATATAAAGAACTTTGAAGGAGTCAGTTTGTCTTAAAGTGCCAAATATTCACTTTGGCCCTCCAAACAGTAGGATAACTGTATAGGCACCTAGAATTACTAATCACTTCGGAGAAGTTCAGCCTGGAAATTTAAAAGGAGCCATTCAGCAATGGCTACAAGGGAAAGGAAGAGATAAATAACTATTGCACATATTAAAAAAAAATACTCATTTTTGTACTTGTTGTTTGACTGTAAAATTATGTTTGATTCAAATTAAGCAAATACCTCTCACTGAAATTAAGCTGTTCTGCAGATAGGACGTATTGCCTGCATTCCAATCACGTCTGTACTCAAGCAATACATGGGAAACTTAGAGCTATACCTCCTGCCTATTATAAAGCTCAATACCTTTCTAAATTTGGTAATAAAATTAGCATGTTAAAACTATACACTTCCTGTGCACCCAGCCAAGGCATATGTAATAATATAATTAAACTCTCACAAATAAATGAATGTTTAATGTATTTTCTGAGCATCAAAGTAATGTATCTTTTTTTATTCCAGAAGAGAAAATAAATAGCTCTGTGTTTCAGTTTCTTATGTCTATTAAGATATGGGGAAATAAAGAAAGCCAGATGGGAAATTCTCAGAAGTATGCTATGATTTCTGCTTACCGCAAATACTGTATAATGTATAAAAATGTATATCCTGTATGCAAATTAGTTATATCTATATATTATACATGCCCCAGTCAAGCAGTCTGCCATTGTGTCACTCTCTGTTAACTCTAGGCAATTTGTCTCATCCCTTTGCTCAAGAGCCCCAGCAGCTAAAGGGAGTCTTTTCTTTGACTTGAATAATTTTTGGATAAGACTAATTAAAGTGAAGATGATGGACTGTGCTCTGATAAATACCCATTGCAAGTAAAAGACTGTAATAACTTTACTGGGTACATAAAGTACAGAAGTCTTCATTCAGTTCTCTGTTGCAGGTAAACTTCTCTGCCTGCGACATCTTCATTTTATAAAATAGGGGTTTATAAAGAATTCCTATAAACAAGTTTTGAATAAAGAATACCTTATTGGCAGTACTCCTACTTGGGTAACATCCCAACAACATCCCAACACCATCCAGTGCCCACACCTGGCACTCAGGATTCACGAATTGCTTAGAGCCTAAAACAGGTTCAGTGGTGGAGATTTTGGAACCCTTCCAGATTATGAGAGTCACTGTTGATTTCAGAGGGTTATGAGCCACTGGTACCTAAGTAATTTCAGTTTAGATAGTCTGAAAATAACTGAAAACCAATGTTTTATTATATTACATAAACAGAGTCCAAGAAAATGAAGAAGGGAGAGTCATGAAGTTCTTGCCAGCGTAGGAAAAATAGGTAGCCATAGTACCAAAAATACAAAAACTGTTTCCATTTGATTTTCTAGACTGTAATTTATGATCACTTATTTCCTCTGTAAGTGGCTTTTAAATACAGAGGAAAGAACTTCAGGAGACCAAAAATCTAACTTCAGGATCAAACTGATGATCAAACTAATTTGTAAGCATCTCCTTTCTGTAAACTGCTACCCCCACATACACACCCCTCTCCCACCCTTCTCTAAACATTTTTGAGGAGAAAACATAGAAAAAGGATTACGACTACTTCTACTGTCCCAAATAATGTTTTAAAATTACAGCCAGCTTTTTAAATAGCCTGATTCCATATGAGAACATTTATTCTGTAGCTGATATTATGTTTTGTATGGACTAAAATGTCAGTGAATACTTAGTGCCGTGATCACTAATTTATAATATACCTACCTTAATTTATAATAGACCTGCAAAGAATTAGTAATTCAATTTGATAATTACAATTATATAATGAATTGAAAGGTGAAGTATTTCTTATCCAAACCTGTCACACTAGTCTTTCATGTATGGGAACAAGTAAAACTATTTGTCATTTTTATTGGCAAATCATTAAAACTCTTCAGATGCGAGTACATGCTTATGAACTATCACTGAAATCCACTATTTTTAGGGCTTTTTTTCTTGCCAATCCTCTGTTTGGATTGATTAGATATTAGTTCAAATTATTCATAGGGACACTGAGAATTGCATCTGTGTGAATACTTACAAGGAAACAGCCAGGAACACGCTACCTTAGTTTGTTTCTACAGCCCCATCCACTCAGTCATTTGCAGTGGGAGTGCTGCTCCATGGCAGAAACTGCCTAGGATCAAATTACCCGATGTTATCTTATTTGACACAAAATGTGCATAAAGAGATTAAAAATGATTTCAAATGAGCAAAAGCTCACAGGTGCCAGCCCAATTCCCAACAGGAGGAAGAACGGGTCATTGGTTACTGTGTTTTACCTTGACTGCTGACGCCGGGAGTCCGGACAGACGGGAGGACTGGTGCGTTACAGGGGCTGCATCAAGGAGAAGTCACATGGCAGGGGAAACTGTCCCTGGGGTATTTACAGGGGGGATTGGGCAGTTTGCATAAGGAAACTCAGAGTAATCACAGCCACAGCCCAGATCTTATTCAAATAGTGAATAACAAAATAGGAATATTTTAGATCGACTTACTGATAGATTGATCTTGCTTTTACTTCTTCCGACATTAAAAACAAAATAACTTCATGAGGGATTTATTAGCAGATAGAGAAGGCCAAATAATACCATGTAAGTAATCTTAGCAGAATTACTCCTTCTAGAAGAGGCACCGAAGCCAAGGACAATAGCAAGGAAGAACAAATACATTTCATAATCATGTTCAAATTGGTACATTCCACATCTGATAGCTGGACATGCTCATGCAGTGATGACAAAAATTATTTCATGATTTGTAGAGAAATGCTATGTGGCTTTCCAAGATAATGCTTATAACAGCAGTGTAGGGTAGCTCCTGGAAAGAGTTGTTAACTTGCTGTAACACAGCACATATAGCTTGTCATCGCTGGGAGTGCACACATTAGTGTCTGAGCTTGTGCAGCATGAATGTGTTTCTGTCCCAACCACAAAAATCACACTATGCCTGAATTTGGACCATTAAAAATGTCAGCATCCTTTGCGGTGTGCGACTGCCTCGGTGGCTGAGCATATGCAATCAGTCAGCACCATGACATGACCTGTGTGAAATCTCCTGTTACAGGGCAGAGTAGAGTGAAAAACATGGCACAAGCTGACTTTTGGGGTAGGACAACCTAGCAGACTGAATTACACCATCACCACTCACAGGTGACAGCCTATATCTTTCAAGGATGCAGGTCCAATCCAGTTGTGTTCTTACATGCTTGTTGGTATGCATCAATTGAGACACAGCCTATTTCCAGATGGATTGCAACAATACTTTGTAATGACCTGTGGCTAAATTATCAAGTATACACAGATGACAGCCCGTATTTCAAGCCAGCTGAAAAGCACACGTAGTGGTAACTAAAGTAAATTCAGGAATACCTAATTCTGAAGAGTGCCACAAAGTCAGGCCATGCTACCAATTCAACATAGGCAAGCTTAGATCAGTTGACAGGTGGATATCCCTATGAGGGCACCTCCTTCCAGAAGTGAGCATGAGAAGAGATTCAGGAGCTCTGTTCCAGTGAACTCTTAGAGAAGGCTCTGATCTTCAGTGAATGTGATCTTATTGCCCTCACTATATTTTCGGGGATAGTTTATACTTTTGGCCTCTGCAAAAATGTTGAGGCAGAAAAAAAGGGGTGCCAACTGTGGCAGAATAAAGAGAATGGGGTCTTTGAAACACAGGCTATGAACTGTAGTTTTTAATGCTTCTTTTGCAAACCACATACATGAAAAATAGGCAAAAAGAGTCTGTTTTCCTGCTCCCTCCCATTCCCACCCCAGCAGGCCTCCATGATAGAGTCCTAAGCAGAAGTTAGGATTGCTGTTGCAATTCAGTAGAATATAAATAAATAAATAAATAAATATGCTCCTTAATATTAATCTGTGAGTTTTTTTAAGGATCAAAATTTGCTTATAAAGCAGTTTGCATTTTTTTTTCCACTGTGGGAATACCTACTGTCTTCTCATTTGATAGGTGTTAGTTTTTTATACAAAGGCTCAAGTTTTGGTCCCTTTGACTGGCTCTTTTTATTTATATATATATATATATAAATATGTAACTCACAGTTAGGACTAATTATATGTATTCCCTTTGATTTGTGGAACAGGCCATTCCATTTGAAAGGAGAAAAAGTATTTCCTTCTTGCCTTTCCCTCCATTGGGATTTCTCCTGGCTCTCTCGAAGCTGTCAGCTGAGGTCTCTTGCAGCCACTCATTCCAGAGGCTGGAGTCAGTCGCTCTCCAAAATAGCACTTGATTGCTCTGTCTCAGTTCAGTCTGCAGCAAGTTTAGCTTTGATAAAAATGCACAAGCCACTTCTGGCTGGCTTTGTCCCTTAACAATACTAGTTTTTCCTAGGACGAACAAGTGACAGGGACCTCAATGCGATTTAACATGCCACAGTGGCCAACTTGCCTGAGATTTCCAGCTTCCCTGTATGCGTTCCAGCATCCCTGCATCTTGGTGAGGTCTGACCCATGCCAAAGAGCCTAGCCTGACCATGAAAAATGCCAAGTCTCCAAAATCCCCTTTCTGATTAAAGATTTTTCATTCCTTTCCATTCCTGTGACATCTCTGT